TATCTGATGAGAAGTCATCCATTAACTGTATCATCAGTTCTGCATGTAATATGTTATCTTTTAACTGTTTTGCTTTTACCATTTTCATTATGATGTAAATTTAGGTGTAGATTTCTTTGTGTTTATTCTATTTGGTGTTATTAAGCATTTGGATCTATAAATTAACATTTTCCACCAAATGTGAGAAATTTTCAGTTATTATTATTTTTTTAAATTTGTCTTTTTCTTTCGCTCCTCTTTCTGGGACTCCAATTACATGTATGTTGGGCTGCTTGATACTGTATTGCAGGTCTCTGGTGCCTTGTTCCTTTTTCTTCATATTTTTCCCTTCTGTTCTTGATCCTGGATAATTATTATCTTCAAGTTCACTGATCCTCTCTTTGCTCTTATCTCACCTTAATTGTGCTATCGAGTCCTTCTTGTGAATTTTTCACTTCAACTACTGTGATTTTCAACTCTAGAATTTCCATTTGGTTCTTTTCTATAGTTTTATGTTCTCAGTTAAGAGGCCCTATTTGTTCATTTGTTAATATCACATTTTCCTTTACTTTTTTGAACAGGTTTATAATAGCATCTTTAAAGCCTTTGTTAAATCAACATCTGGGCCTTCTTAGAGTCAGTTTCTGATTTATTATTTTTTCTCCCTAAATGTGAGTCACATTTATGTTCTCATTTTTTTATATACCTAATAATTCTTGGTTGAAGACTGGCCATCATAGATAATATGACGTAGCCCTCCAGAATCTGTTTTGTTCTGCTGGGAATGGCTGTTTCTTGTTCTAGTAGGCAATCAACTTACCTGGACTCAAACTGCAATATCTTTCACGGCCCCTGCCCCTACTCTGCAGTGTAACGAAGCTTATATCTTGCTTGGCACTGCTAATTCAGTACTGCTATTTAAGCCTAGTCCTCTAGAGGTTTCCCCTGCACTTGAGTAGTCTGGCAGTCAGTCAAGAATCAGGCAGAATTTATACTGTTTTGGGCATTTACCCTCTCTATGGTTCCCTTGTGTTTGGAGCTCCGAACCTAAATTTCCAGTTGCTTGGCCAGCCCTGAGTTCTTTCCTCTGATACCTCAAACCAGTAAGACTTTTGCTTCCCAATCCCTATACTGTAGGGGTTGGGGAATGTACTAAGTCAGAGGCACAGTAAACTCACAAATCTTACCAGGTGCAGTTTTCTTTGCAGAACATATCTCCTTCTAGTTTGTTTTTGGCTGGGCTCCCTGGGGTCTCACTAATACATGTGTTCTTTGGAGGTCTACCAGGGATTTTGGCTTTTTGTATCTCATTTTACAATGCTTCTCTATCTCAAGGATATAAAGATATTCTATACTTTCTTTTAAAAATTAAGTGTTTTGGTCTTTCCTATTTAGGTCTTTAATCAATCTAAAAATTATTTTTGTGTAGAATAGGGGTCCAATTTTATTGTTCATATGCTAATTGACTGACCCCCCTTTCCTCAGTGATTTGTAATGTCATCAAGATCATAAAATGTCTATATATGAGTGTTTCTGGGTTTTTTCTCTCTTCCAGGTGTCAATACCATACTGTTTTAATTACTACAGCTTTATAGTAAGCCTTGTTACTTAGTAGGGCAGGTCTTTCTTATTTTTCTGTGATAGGAGTATCTTTGCTATTCATGTGCTTTTGGTACTCTACATACGTTTCATTATTTTTCCAGCTTTACTGAGGTATTTGTATGACACTGTACAAGTTTAAGGTGTATAACATGATTTGATACACATATATATTGTGAAATGATTGCCATAGTAAGGTCAGTTAACATCTTCATCACTTCACATAATTACCCTTTCTTTTGTGATGAGACCATTTAAGATCTACTCACCAAAAAAATTTTAAATATATAATACAGTATTGTTAACTATAGTCACTATGCTATTTTTAATCCATCAGCCACTCTATACCTTTTGACAGAGAATTTAATTCATTTACATTTAAAGTAATTATTCATTAGTAAGAACTTACTAATTCACCTTATTAGTTGTTTTCTGACTGTTTTACAGTTCCCTTGTTATTTCTTCCTCTATTGCTTCCTTCGTGAACTGATGATTTTCCATAATGGTATGCTTTGAGTACCTCCTCTTTATCTTTCATGTATCTACTGAAAGTTTTTGCTATAGGGGTTACTGTGAGGCTTACACAAAACATCTCATAGATATAATTGTCTATGTTAAGTTGGTAACTTTGGCTATAAAAACTCTACCCTTTTACTGCCTCCAACCCCCTGACATTTTATGTTTTTGATGTCACAATTTACCTCTTTTTATATTATGTATCCATTAACAAATTATTATAGCTATCGTTATTTTTAATAGTTTTGTTATTTAACCTTTAGAGTTAAGTCCTATACCACCATATTACAGTATTTGAATATTCTGAATTTGACTATATACTTACCTATACCAGTGTGCTGTATATTTTCATGTTACTAATTAGCATCTTTTTATTTTAGCTTGAAGAACTCCTTTTAGCATTTCTGGTGAGGCAGCTCTAGTGGAGATGAATTCCTTCAATTTTTGTTTGTTTGGGTAAGTCTTTATTTCTCCATTTCTAAAGAACAACTTTGCTGGGTTAAGTATTCTTGTTTGGTAGTTCTTTTCTTTCATTACTTTGAATATATCATTCCACAGTCTCCCGGCCTGCATGGCTTCTGCTAAGAAATCCACCAAAAGCCTTAAGGGGGTTTCCCTGTATGTGAGAAATTTTTTATCACTTGCTGCTTTAAAATTTTTCTCTTTGTGTTTGAGTTTAGACAGTTTTATTATAGTGCATCTTGGAGAAGATAGTTTTGGGTTGAAACATGTGGGGGACCTATGAACTTCGTGATCTTGGATATCCAAATCTCTCCCTTGATTTAGTAAGTTCTCAGCCATTATTTAAGTTATGATAGAGAAGCACTGTAAAATGAGATACAAAAAGCCAAAATCCCTGGTAGACCTCCAAAGAACACATGTATTAGTGAGACCCCAGGGAGCCCAGCCAAAAACAAACTAGAAGGAGATATGTTCTGCAAAGAAAACTGCACCTGGTAAGATTTGTGAGTTTACTGTGCCCACTCTCTTCTTCTTTTGAGACTCCAATAATATGAAGATTGCTTCTTTTAATGATATCCTATGGTTCACATAGGCTGTCTTCACTTCTTTTCATTCTTTTATTTTTGTTCTTCTCTGACTGGATAATTTCAAATGACTTATCTTCTACTACAAAGTTTTTTTCTTCTACTTGATCCATTCTGATATTGATGCTATTATATTTTTCATTTCATTCATTGTATTCTCCAGCCCTAGAATTTGTGTTTGGTTATTTTTATGATTTTTCTCTGTTAAACTCATTTTCTTTGTACATTGTTGTCCTTATTCTGTTGGGGTCAGTTACTAGAAAATTGTGTTCTTGGTGGGGTCATGTTTTCTTGATTTTCATGTTCCTAGAAATCTTGTACTGCTGTCTTTGCATTTAAGGAAGCAGTCACCTGCTCCAGTCTTTACTGACTGGCTTTTGGAAAGAAATACCTTCTGTCAGCCCTGCTAGGGATTCTGGGGCTTTCTCAATCTTTTCTGTGGATAAACCTGCTCCACACTTCTTGTTCCCTCATGTTGGGGAATTCTAAATATAATATGTCCTCCTTCTCTTGATCCTGCAAAGCTAGGTTGAGTGTTACCAGCCTCTTGTTTGCTTGCTTTACCTAGGGTGGTGCTGGATGTTCAAATTTGTGTGCTTGCTACCAATCCCACAGAGTCAGACTGTCTTTCTGTGCATGCTCACTAGCTTTCTGCAAAGGCCCCTTCTTGCTATCATCAGGAATGCTCAAAGGGAGCGGGCCACAAGGTGGAGAATGCTGAGGTACCTATGGACCAGCTCGGGGAACTGAAGATGAGAAGTCCTCAATGAGTCACTGGTGGGCTTCCTGATATTCTACAGAGCAGTCAGTAGGATCCATTTTCCTTTGATGACATTTGAGAGCCCTGGCTGCCATTTTCCCGGCCACATCCTAATCCTCAGTCATGCAGCACACCTCACTATTCTGAATGGGGTGAGAAATAGTAAGTCTTTTTGGTAGCATCCTGCACAGCGGGTATAGCCAGGGACTTACTTCATGGTCTCACTTTCCCCCATGGGAAAAATCTCAGGCTAAGAAGGTATCTCTTGGCATTAACCCATGCCACCATGGGGGAGGAGTGTCACAAGTGAAATGAAACTGTTCCTCTTACCTTCTTCAATGTGCCCTATATCGGATTTTTTTTTTTTTTTGCTCTATCTGTGTGCTAGAATTTTCCACTGGATTCCTGGACTTCCACAAAGGCCCTCCCATCTGAGGGTGACTATATAAATTGGTGTTCTTTGGGGGAAGATGATAGAAAACTCTTATTTTGCCATGTTGATGACATTACTCTACATATCCCTGTGGATATGAAGCCGGGATGGTCTCTTTGTTCTCCTCGCTCAGATAGGCACTAACATGTCTTTGTCCCCTTAGAAACAGCTTGTCAGTTCCTCAAAAAATCCTGCTTGGATTTTGTTTGGAATTGCAATCTGTGCGCAGATCAATTTTGGGAGAAAAAACATTTTTAGGATATTGTCTTCCAATCATTAACATAGCTGTTCTCTTCATTTATTTAGGTCTTACTTTTAAAAAGTTTTTAAATGGTTTCTATAAAAGCTGTAAGAGATGAACTCTTGAATAAGGTACAGAGTAAAAGTTACTAATGTCTGTTTATCCAAGGTAGATCAATGCTATTGCAGGCATCTCTCAGGATTTAGGGAAGTCAGTACAAGGATCAAAAGGTTGCGAAGTTGAACTTATCTTCCAGGATGTTTTTATGTACAAATGTAATATTTGCAAAAAAAAAAATATATATATATATACATATGGTACCCTGAACAAGCCCAGTGAGAGAGAGAGAGAGAGAGAGAGAGAGAGAGAGAGAGAGAGAGAGAGAGAAAAGAGAAGAGAAGAGAGTAACTGATAATGGACACTCACCCCAGCCTTAATGTAAATAGGAGAAAATATCCAACCAAGAACACAGAGAAGGAATGGAGCCTGAAACCAAGAAGAATAATTACATCATGGTCCCATCTAGGCTAAGCTTTTAAATGAGATACAAGCTCAGTTTCTATTTGTTCTGAGCCTAACTAAATTATCACTACAGGGGACCTTACAATAACAGCTGAAGCATACAACTTTCGGTACAACAAACTTAACTTACAGGCATTTGATTTTTGCCTATAAAAGGGTGCATTCTTAATTGTGGGGGGTTAACTGAGCCAGTTTTCAAGGTATTTATCTTTAACTTATTGGTTGCCTAGGAATGAAAGTGGCTTATAATTTAAAATAGTTAAAGAGAGAAAGAAAAGTCAAAAACCATTCAGAGAAATGGGAGAAAAACTATACCAAAATTTCATACAAGTTAATGAAATAAGTAAAAAATTTGCTCTGGCTTTCTTTACAAAGAAGGGGTAAAGTAAGCTGAATATATAAAGGAGATGCTAGCAAATTCTGAGAGGAAATAGTGGTAAAGACCAGGGCTTCTTATTAAGTTAGAAATTGACTCTGCTAGAAGTATTTTTTATTTTTGTAGTTTATAAAGAAGATGAGACTCAGAAAGTAGGGAGTATTCTATAAAAAAAAAAAGCCAGATGATTTATATAGAGATATGTTAATCGATATAAGACTTATAAATTCACTTATAATTTAGGTGAACAAATTTTATGTCCTACAACAAATATATACCACAGATTAAATGAATAATCCACTTTATAAGTTTTATAGTTGAAACTTGGTATTCCTACAAGATCAATTAGGAGTTTTGTGGGAGCTAGCTGAATATCTCAATGAGCTCAGTTGGGCCCATTCTCAAAGTATACTACAAATATACATACACATACATATATACAGATATATACATACATATGTAACTATGTATATATAAACATATACACATATATATCTATACATATACACACATATGTAACTGCATGTATAGATATATACACATATATACACATATATACCTATACACATATATTTTTTAAAAATCTATTTTAAATGTTAATATGATCTTTTCTCTATCTGACTAGTTTCCTAACAGCTCTTTGTTTATTGTATTCCTATGGTCCTTGAAATATCAAATAATTTACTAAGGAGAAGAAAAACTAGCATCGTTATTTTTTGGAGAAATCAAAGACTTGGTTCTTCTCTTCCATGGCTTCTCAAGAAGATTTTAATATTTACTCAAGGATGAAAGCAAGTTTTATGTTTATGAATTTTACTTGGACAATGATAAAGGTGGAGGTTAGTTGCTACAAAAGGTATTACTTACATTCCACTCGAAGGCCCCAGCAGCAATCCCTGAAGTCGCTGCTGTTCCAGCCAGGGCCACAAGGTGGCCAATGCCAATATTTGAGGCAAAAAGAGAAGCACCTATCTGATAACCGAAAGACAATTCTATATTAGAACTTTTAGCCCAAGTTTAAGAATTAATTTCCACAAATGAAAACTCAAACTGAATTTTACAGTTTCTCAAAAGGGATTATTACCTGGGCAAAATTCTCATTCGTGTCTCTTCTATACAAATACTAACCATAAATTAGAAGCCAAGTGAAGAGAGAGTGAAAAAGGCAGAACAGCCATTCTTATGTTGCCACCCTTCACATGCTCCACTGACTTATTTGCAATTCCCTAATGCAGAAATATTAGAAGTGTAATTCCATTATTGTTTGGAAATAATTTAAAAATATTAGCAATCTAATTGATTATCTATAAGAGACTGGTTAAAATACTAGGGTACGTGAATACACAAAATATAATATAGCATTACAGAATAAAGAAGCTTTATTTTATTAAGTAATAAAATATTGTAAACAATATAATAATCTCATTAAAATGTATGTGGGCACATTACACTTGTACACATATATGTTTACATATGCATGAGAATGATTCTGGCAGTATAAATATATATATAGAACAAAATACTTCTGGGAGCTGAAATTATGGGATGAGGAGAAAATTTCAAGTTTTACACTTGGACTGTAACATTTTTTTTTTGTAACTAACATCTGTTACTTTCAAAGTAAAAAATCCCAGAGGCATTTAAAATGAAAATAATCCCTCCTAAATGAATAATAGCTTTTCAGTTGTGTAGAGACAGCCACTCTATTCAAAACAAAAATCCAACTATTATGCTGTTGACATGAGACATATTTAAAACAAAATTATCAACAGAGGCTAAAAATAACAAAAACTTTTAGGTAAAAACAAACAAAAAAGCAAATTAAAAAACTCTGCATCGACAACATCAACATAGGATAAAACAGTATTTAAGACCAAAAGCATTAAACAAGATAAAGAGGTTTTGTTGTTATAACTATAAAAGGTAAAATGCACTAATAAGACATAATTGAGAACATACAGGTACCAAACATCTTATTGGCAACAAATATACGGCAAAAAAATCTTAAAAGAGGCACATAGTAAGTATTCAAGTAATGGTAGTTATTTTCACTATTAGGAATGTTAGCTACATTTATCAAAACAGTGCAAAATTATATACAGCCTAAGTTGCTCAATAATATGGTACATAAATGGTACATAAATGGTAGACTAATACTATTCAACTGCATATAAATATAAAATATCTATATTGACTTATCTAAGTTTATAGAGACCTATGAAGATAGTAGTACATTATTAAAGGGAAAGGTGGGTTAAAAAAAATCACCATTTGGGCGTGGTTCCGCAGTGTAGTGGTTAGTACATCTGCTTTACATGCAGAAGGTCTTGAGTTTGCGCCCCAGGTGGAGCCACAGACCACACCCCGGGTGCACCAGGCCCTGGGTGGACCAGCCCCCTGGAGTGTGCTGGGGTGCCAGGCCCCGGGTACATGCCCCAAGCGGTGGGAAGAGACACCCTGCCTTAAGATCTAGTTCTTAAGGGGAAATAGCAACGTCCATAGGTCAGGGGTGGAAGTGGTGGTGCGGGGGAATTAAAGAGGTGGAAATAAAAATCAACATTCATCAATTCAATAACTATTATAAATGTCCATTGTCATCTATGTTCCAGGCACTGTTCTAGGTATTAGGGATATATTAATGAGTAAAATAGACAAAAATCCCTGCTCTCATGGAGTCAACATTCTTTTGGGAAGAAGAGAATAGATAAAATAAATTAGGGGGTTATTTTCTAGCACAATAGACAGTGATAAGTACTATAGAGATAAAGATGGGAAAGTCAATAGGAAGTGCTGAGCAACTGGGTGGCTGGGTAGACTGTCTGAGAGATGTGAGAAATACCAGAAGAGGTGAGGGAACAAGCCATAGGATATGTGGAGAGAGACTGAGGCAGACTGAGGCGGGAGCAGAACTGATTGTCTAAGGACACTGGCTAGACTTGGGGACAAGGGTCTAGAGAGGCAAGGTCAGAGAGGTAAAGAGGTGCAGATCATCTGTGGCTTAACACAAATTGTTATAAGCAGCTGGCCTTTCATTGTGGGTGCCATCGGAGCCCCCAGAGAGTTTTAAGCATAAAAGTGACATGGTCTGACTCAAGCTTTAAAAGGCTCCATTTAGCTGCTTTGTTGTGACTTGATATAGAGGAGCAAAGATGGAAGGAGGGAGCCCAGAGAAGAGGCTGTTATAATTAATCCAGGGGAAAGACAACGGCAGCATGAAACTGAGAGCAGAGCTACTAAGTAGTCATCAGATTTGAAATATTTTTCCTCTGATGGATTAGATGTTGGGTGTGAGAGAGCATAAAGAGTCTAACACCTGAGCACCTGAGCACCTAGAAGGATGGAGTTGTTGTTCAGGAGACAGGGAAGATGGCGAGAGGAGCAGATTTGCGGAGGAAAGTCCAAAATTCCTTCTGGACTTGTTCGGTTTGAGATATCTGACAGACCTCTCAAGTGCAGGTGTCACACAGGCAGCTGGACACACAAGTCTGGAGTTCAATGGAGAGATCTGAGCTGTATTAGCATGTAACTGATATTTAATGCCATGAGACTAAAGGACGTTGCCAAGTGTGTGAGTGCTATTGGAGAGGAGAGGTCAGACGCTGCCCTTAGGGAACTCCAGCATTAAGAAGCCAGGGAGATGGGAGAGAACCAGCAGGGAGACTGCTAATGAGTGGTTGCTGAAACAGCAGGACAGAAGGAGAGGCAGGTGACAAAATGAGGAGGAAAGGTGGAATGAGCGTTTCAGAGTGTCACCACTGCCAGGCCAGGTGAGATGAGGACTGAGAATTGACTGCTAGAATAAGCCATGTATAATGTGTGTGTGTGTGTGTGTGTGTGTGTGTGTGCGCACAGGAACTGTTTGCCAAAAGGGGGTAAGCAGCCTTCCCCCAGAGTCTGTGTGAGGCTTTGAGAGAGAGAGAGAGAGAGAAAGAGGGGTGGAGGAGAGAGAAGAAAAAGAAAGGACAAGCTATGTGGAAAACCCTGACAAGAGCAACTGATATCCATCAGATATCTGTTTGAATAAAATATATATAAGAAAAAAAATGTTGGAGTGGCAAAATTATTCATTTCCATTTCCTTTAATAATACCATAATATATTTTGTTCATTAAGCAACAATCCTGATAATAAAAAATAAGTCAGTAAAGAAATTAATAAATCATAACATATAAACATTAGGAGGCCAAAGAATGTCGGTGTCATCTGAAAACCATTATAAGTGTCACAGCAATACAAGGTAACATGGGCAGTAGATGGCCATTTTTCTGAGTATAGAATACATGACTGCAAAGTCTAAGAGTGCCTCAGGCAAAAAACTGGGGCCTCACAGCCCAGGAATAGAAAGTTTTGCTAGAATCCTCTGCTGAAAAATAAACTAAGGTAGGGAGGCCCATTGCAAACATTTATTTGCCACATTCGCTCTCTTTCTAAACCAGGTTTACAAAAAAAGAAGATTCAAGCTTAATTCAGAGAGTTAATACCAGAAAAATGCTTTTCCCTAAATGTTCCAGCTAACTGAGGCAAAGCCATTTCTGTTAGGTTGTTTGATCCATCAGAGTTAATAAGTGTGCGTTCCACTTTCTTTTGAATACAAGTACCTTCTCCTCTCAAGATCAGACTTCTTTCTATGAAACATTACCCCAGTGTGAAGAACTGAATCCTCGCCATAAAACTGGTTTAACATTTGGCGATAAAGAATATTCATGACTAAGGGCCTGCTTCTTTAAATGTACCTTATATTCTTGTGCAGGAAATGTATGCATGTTTTTACACAATAAGTTACGAAGCAGCCATGGCTCATGCTTGGCTTGAGTCCTCAAGCACAGGGTCTTGCCAGGTCCCTACATCCACCTTCTTCCTGGGACAGCCCCACCCACCACAGCATGGGTACTGGGCCATGGACAGGCAGCTGCCTCTGCTGCTGTGGGGGTTTCAGAGCACACTTCTCAGATAGAATCACTTTGTATAATGAATAAATTATTGAACACAAACAACAACAACATGTTTCTAGCCCTCAGGCCCTATCTCCCTCCATGCAGCATCACCTCCATGCTTTGGCATACGCTATTCCCGCTGCCCGAATGCCCTCCCTTCCATGCTTTGGCATATGCTATTCCCTCTGCCCGAATGCCCTCACACTCTGTTGGCAAACACCAACTCCACCTCCGAATCCTGCTCAAACAACCCCACCTCTCTAAGGACTTTCCCGTTTTGTACTACATACTACCTCCACTCAGTAAGTCTGAGTTTACCTTTCATCCACACCTGGCTTGTGTGCCTCCTATCTGACCTACTCTACTTCATTGTAATGTACTATAATTCATTGGATGCATGTCCAACTTCTATTCTAGATTGTGCGCTTCCAGAGGGCAGAACTGTTTATTTCCTATCTAGGTCTTGGAACTCAGAACGATGCCTTGTAGATACCAGGCACCTAATAAAAGGTTACTAAGCTAAACTGAGTTGAATGGAAACATTTAGGTAAGAAACTATGTAAAGAGTTAAAGGAACCACCAATGAAATGGCTTTCCTGACTTAAAAACTTCAAATTATTTTGGGTATAAGACATCTAAATTAAAGTAATAACACAAGTTAACAAGCAGCTCCTCAAGTGGATTGTTACATACAAGGCATACTCACCGACCACCATGCTAGATTTCGGCCAGCCAGGAAGAAGTCTTCCACAGTCCCACGGTTGCTCGATAGCATAGTCTTAAAAGAGACCAAACCAAAAAACAAAGCAAAACAAAAACAAACAAAAAACCATGGAATACAAGAAACCAAACTGCTTCAAAGACACGAGTCTCTCAAATGATTCACTTATGGGGTTAATCTCTGTAGCAGATATTCCAAATCCATTCTCCCCTTCTTTCTTTTTGAGAATAGAAGTCCCTACCTCCTGAGTTAGAGGACGGCTCATGGCTGCCTAGCTGGAGACTACAGTCTTCCAGCTCTGACATTGCATGGGAATGTCCATTTCTCTACACTCTTGTGAAAAAAATATTGCTTTATTTTTTTTTCCCAACTAGTTAACCAGTACCATGGTTTCTGGCAGAGTCCAGGAGATAAGTGGTTTAGTGAAAATATGGGTCAATCAGTAATGGCAAATCTAAACATGCACCTGGCTTCTTCCAGGACAGCAATCATGCTGCCATTACTATAGTGTCCTTCCAACAGTGTCCTCTCTACCTGGGGTCCCCAGCTCTGATACCCAGACCCCATGTGGTCAAAAGACACTACTAGGATTTCCTGGATTACCTAGGAACAGCACAACCTAAGGATGATAGCTGATTGACAGAAATGCATTTCTGTGGGAAGAGTGAACTTATTACCAACATCTGAGGTATCTGGATTAGAATATGGTCCCTTTACAACATAAAACCTTCAACCAAAGAAACAACTCTACAAAAGACACATAAAGTTCATCTCGTTTCACCTATTCACTAAATATTTGTCAAGGGCTTACTTACTATATGCAGAGCTGATCTTTCCTAAGGGAGTTGGTTATCAATGGTATGTAGGTGGAGGTGCATTAAAATTTTTAAAAGTCATTTACAAAACGTTCTAAGATGAACAAAATCAACTTCTCTTTCCATTAAAGAAAGAACCAGATAGGAAGAAGAGGAGATCCTCGGGAGAAGGTGGCTTAAGCCCATGTCCCTGCCTCTTCTCCCCTCCTTCCTCTCTTGGTAGCCAGGTTGGTGGGTAGGAGATGCATTCAGTATCTCAAATCTCTGGGCAGAGACTGGTAAAAAAGAAGGCAAACAAGAAAAAATTAAGTTTTTCCCTTTTAACACAGTATAAGAGCCAAGGTGCCAGCAACAAAGACTGATTTCCCAGTTCCCTGTGGGTGCTCAGCAGACTGCAGCTGATGAATGCTTTCAGAAAGGAATGCCATCCGTACCAATGTGCTTAATTCAGTTCGGTGAGAAATGGGTGGTTGGTTTAATAATCGGAAAAAAATAAAGCAAGACTCCTCTGCCACATCATATATAAAAGTAAATCCTAGATGTTCTAGAGAGTTAAATATTTTTAAAAATCTATAAAATATTAGAATAAAATTTAGCATAATATCTGTACAAAGTTGGAGTGGGGGAAAACTTTCCTGATCAAGCCAGGAAATCTAGAAGATGTACAGCAGCAGTCCCCAACCTTTTTGGCACCAAGGACTGGTGCTCCTATGAGAATCCAATGTCTGATGGCCTGAGGTGGAGCTGAGGCAGTGATGCTCTAGCTCTGGGGAGCGGCTGCAAATACAATTGAAGCTTCGCTCCCTTGCCTGCCACTCACCTCCTGCTGCGTGGCCTGGTTCCTAACAGGCCACAGACCGGTACCCATCTGATATCTGTCCGTAGCCAAGGGGTTAGGGGTCTCTGATGTAAAGGAAAAGAGATAGTTGATTTCTTCAAAGTGAAGAAAAATTCAGATGACAAAAAGATGCCATTAACAATCTAGACCAGAGGGTCTCAACCGGGGGAGATTTCCGTGCCCCATCTGTCCAGGGGATATGTGGCAATGTCTGGGGACATTTTTGGTTGTGAATGGTAGGGCTCAAGGTTACTTCTAAGCATACAATAACACACAGGACAGACCCCCACAACAAGGAATTACCTAGTCCCAAATGTCAGTAGTGCCGAGGTTGAGACTGGTCTAGACAAGTGATAATTTAAACATATCAGCAATTCAAATGACAGACAAGTTGATAACAGCAAAGTCAAACAACCCAATTCAAAGATGGGCAAATAAAGTGGCTATTCACAGAAGAAGACAGTCAATGGACAGTAAACCCATGAAAAGATGTTCAACCTCACTAGGAATCAAGGAAGTGCTAATCAAACTACAATAAGATACCACTATTTACCCATCAGATTGGCCAAAAAAAAAACACCCCCCCAAAAACAAACAAAAAACCCCCCCAAACAAACCAAACAACAAATAAACAAACAAAAACAACTGGAAGTAACAAGCAAGGCTGGTGAAGGCTTGGGGAAAAGGGCATGCTCACACACTACTTGCAAGAAATGTTAAATCTCAACAAGCTTTGTGGACTGGCATTAAATATCTACTAAAATTTCAAGTTAACATATCCTTCTGACCCAGCAACTCCAATTTCAGAATTCATGCTACACAGATTAAAAGCACCAACACAGTAAAAAGAAAAAAAAAGAAAAAAGAAAAACTGACCTGGCAATAATCTAAGTGTCGATTAGTTTGGAAGAGCTAAATAGTACATGTTTGTATGATGATTATGCAGCTAATATAAACACTAGCTAGATCTCTATTGGCCTGTAGGACTCTCTCCATCATACAGTAAGTGAAAAAAAGCAAGCTGCAGAATATATATATGATCACATTTTTTTGTAAAGACAAAACACAAAAACTCTTCATATGTGTCTGTATATTTGCATAAGCACTGAGAGAGGGGAGGAAGGATAGACAGTACATGGTTACCTCAGAGAGATGGGAATGGATGGGGAGGAATAATACATTCTTTAAATATTTATATATATCTTTTCACATCTTACAATAAGAATGTTATACTTTTGTAATTAAAAACAATATGATTTATAAAAAAGAACCAAAGGAAGATAATAACATAAAGATGGAAAAAGATCAAAGCATTCTGGATAACCATGCATGTTTTATGGCTCCAAGAATAAAAGAAACAGGTTTCCTTTGAAAGTGACCAGATGGCTTACTAGTCCTCTGACCTTGGCCAGACTGAGGCCTCAACTGGGCTGGGAATAAAACTGGGTGGGAGCTTCGTAATTCAGTAACAGCAACTGAGGAAAGGATCCCCAAACAAGCACTACTCAGAGATCCTGCCTAGGTCACCTGAATGAATATTTTTTATAATTGAGGCCAATTTTTAAAAAGTCATTTGTTTGAATGATTTAGATAAATACCTCAGATTTCTCTTTTACATTTGGTATAAAGGGCCTATATTTTCTCTTCTGGTATCAAATTCTCTTAATAGGTTGTATACTGTCTCATTACTCTATCTGCCCACTAGCAAAATAATGACTTGTAAGCCCTCAAATGAGTGTCCTTTGAAGGTCCTACTTGTGATCTGGTGAGGCACCCCAAGTAAAGGTCACATGTGCATGAAAACTTCAGCTGGGAGGGGGCTGTCCAGAATGAAAACTCTCCTACTGGTTAGCGAATCGTGGCACTGCTACCAAATACTTCTGCTTGGTGAAGCAGGCAAGGCAGAGGCCTCTGATGGTTAACAGCTTAGCTGAGGGATGAAACCATGACACTAGCTGAAGCTTTCACACCCATCTTGCCTTTCACTGGAACAAGGGCTGGATCCTTCCCAGCACTCTATCTTTTTGAGTGCTTACATGCTAAGCTCTAGTGGGAGAATGCTAATAAAGGAGACATGTCTACACTATTAGGAGAACCTTGTTCTGGACGAGAAAACATAAGCTCTTCTTTCAAATTTAAAGAGAACATTTGGTTCCTTACGTTACATGTATGTGCCCTTTGAGGTCTTCCTAGCAAGGCAAAGTGATTAAGCTTATGAGTCAGATCAGGAAGCTCTAGTTTCCAATCTGAATTCCATCATTCCTTCTTTGTTACTTAACCTCTTTTAACTTCGATTTCCTTACCTGAGAAACTGAAGGAAATAATAGTGTGTTGTTTCCAGCATGGTTGAGGATGTAATGCCCTTAAGCACCTAATCGTCAGTAGCTGTTATTATTACCACCATCATCACCATCATAACAATGACGTCTTATTAAATAATGCTTAGGTTTCAGGCAACAGGCACAGGGGAATTTGGCCCATGTGTTTGTTGCAGGCGGGGAGGGAAGATGGGGTTGGTCAAGTATGGCTCTGCTGCCAAAGATACGCACTTACTCTTGGCTAGAATGGTGGGGATTAACTAAAGGAAGGACCAGCAGAGAGGTCTTGAGGGCTGTGCTCAGGCAAGGGCAGGAATAGGACCGTGCTCTGGAGTGCAATAAGAGGTGGGGACGCACTAACTTGACAGGAAGGGGTCAAACCCAGGGCCCTGCCCTCCCCTCAGGGCTCTGACGTACCCAACACCCGATGCCCAGGACCAGCAGGAAGTAAAAAACTATCGCCAGGATGTCTAAGACACTGTCGATGCCCGAGCCCACAACATTCCATTGCGAGATGTCGCCAAACCAGGGGAGGTTCATGGCGCCAACGCTGGGCCAGACGAGACCACGCCTGACTATTAAGGAGGCGGCAACGGCTTTGCTTTTGGCTTCGGCTTTGGCTCCACCCTTGCCGCAGGGCATTCTGGGGACGGCCGCGGGGCAGCCTGGGAACTCCGCGTCCGCTCCGCAGCCCAGCCCTCCTTTATGTCTAGTTGCTGCCGGGCGGCAAAGACTTCGTTTCTTACCAATTGCTACGCTTAGCGGGATGAAAAACACTTCTTCACTGCTAGTTCAGGCACAACGCCCTCCCTTTGTTGTCTACAATCGCTTTATTCTAGACTAAGAGTTGGGCTAGCTTGGGGCTAGCGTGAGGCTTCAGAGGCAGGCTCTTGTAGCTATCTTTCTGAGCCATATTGGAACCTGGGGCAAAAGGAGAAACCTTTTTTTACAATTTTGATATTTTGCTCATTGTGGATTTTGGCATTAATTTTGATTTATTAAAATGTTACATTAAAATACTGGCGCGTCCTTAAATTTTGACCCCAAGGAGAATGCCTCTCTTTCCTCACTTTTAATCATGGCCCTTATTGGACCTACTGGTCACAGAGGGTCCACATTTTTTTGCAGATTGGTTTTTATTGATGATGTGTGAATTTTCAGTCTAAGCCAAGCGTTACTCTCCTTGGTGTGTTCTCTGCTAAATTGTATTTTTAGAAATCATGGTCAATACTACTACTAATAATAGCCAACACATATAGTTCTTGCTAGGTGCCAGACCTTCTATGCACTTTACATTTATTACCCCATTTGGTACTCACAATAACCAGTTAATCTGAGTCTGTAACCACAAGGGCAGGGACACGTGTTCTTGTAGCGAGTCAGAAGTCTACAGTCTCCCAACTGTGTTTTTTAAAAAAATTATTAAAAATAAAAGAAGTCTATGGTCTCAGACTCCTGAGCAGAATTCTATTGTCCTAGTTTAGTTTAGTGATGTCCAAATGAAACATAATGTGAATTACAAATGTTATTTTGTCCAGCTTCATTGAGGTATAATTGACCAATAAAAGTTGTATATATTTAAGGTGTGCAATGTGATGCTTTGATATATGTGTACGTTGTGAAATAATTAGCATAATTCAGCTAATAAACATTAATGACCTCAGTTACTATTTTTGTCTTTGTGTGGTGAGAACACCTGAGATCTACTGTCAACAAATTTTAAGTATATAGTATGTTATTATTAACAATAGTCACCATACTGTACATCAGATTTCTAAAACTTGTTCATCTTATAACAGAGTTTGTACCCTTTGAACAGTATCTTCCCCTTTCTCCCAATACCTAGCTTCTGGTAACCACCATTCTACTCTGTTACTATAAGTTCAACATTTTTTTTTGTAAAGATTTTATTGTTCACTACAATATTTAAAAATATTACATGATAAATGAGACCACACAATATTTGTCCTTTTATGTCTGGTTTATTTCACCCAGCATAATTTCCTCCACATTCATCTACGATGTTGCAAATGGCAGGATTTTCTTCTTTTTTAAGGTTGAATAATATTCCATATGTATGTTTTACATTTCTTTATTCATCTGTCCATGAACACTTAGGTAGTTCCCATATCTTGGTTACTGTAAAAAATGCTGCAATGAACATGGGAGTGCAGGTATCACTTTGAGATAATGATTTTGTTTTTTTTGTATGTATATCTAGAAGTGAGATTGCTGGATTATATGATAGTTCTATTTTTTAATGTTTTGAGGACCCTCTATGCTGTTTTCCCACAGTGGCTGCACTAATTTGCGATCC